AAAATCTTTTATTGAATTTCCTCATTCTTCGAGGCTAATTTTAAATCTTATAATGCCTAGGATTTTTACATTACCTCCTCTTCATCCTTCAATATCTCATAAAAATAAATGAGAGCAATTGCAGCTTCTTATAGTCACATATTTTCTAGTGATAAGAAATCAAAAAAATTTACTGTTCTATGGTGTGATGTTTGTTGTGAGTAATTGACCAATACGGTGATTCCGGCAATAACCTGAAATTAAGCTAACCATTAAATTAAAATGAATCAGTTTATATTTTAAATAATCGTATTTCCCTGCTATTTTTTTAAGCATTAATAAGTTAAAAAATCTAAAAAATATTTGTGTTATTTAAGTAGTAATTAATTCCATATAAAAAAACACTTTTTTGTCGTGAAATAATAATAATTCTGACATTGCGCATTTGGAGCTCTGAAATCAAAATTAAAACAAACCAATAATATAAGGCGCTAAGTATACTTGGGACAGATATTGCAAAATAAAGCCATCGCCAGTTTAGTATCCAAATTCTTAGAATACCAACGAGCATAATTCCCGTTACCCAGGCAGAAGTGTATACCATCGGGATTAACGATCGAAATTCCACTGCCACTGATTCACAACACATTATCCACATTATAGCATAAATAGCCTGAAATTTTTTGAAATTACACTCATTAAAATTTTTCAGGCACAAAGAACTGTCGTGAAAATTCATAACTCTGACAGTGATATAGCGCGAATGTCATTCCTGGCATTTACGTCGCGTCTCTTCTCATTTTTTTTGATCAGCGTTTTTCCTACAAACTCTTAGGTTAGATTTCTTCTCATACAAAATTCTACTACACTTATAAAAAATCTAAATTAAATAATATTTAATCTTAAATTGTTTCAATTACTCGTTGTTTTATTGATTGTGTGAGTAACCCTCTTTTTTCTTAATGTGAATAATCCCCCTTTTTAACAAGTAATTGAAATAATAAAATTTTTGATTTTAAATTATTTCAGTCAATTATTAAAAACTGTCTCATATACTATTATCAAGTTCAACTTCATTGATGTTTTCTATTACAAATGATCGTCTTGGAAAAAATGTACCAAAATTGCGACACCAAGCATGAAACGACAAGCCACAAATGTAAGGGCCGTTGGTGCTAGCGGACAAATATTAGCCATAATGGTAGCAGTCCATAATGAGAATAACATCAATTTCCGGCGACCATAAAGATCAGATAATTGAGTAATTACAGGTGTGAATAGTCCTCCTAAATATGAATGTTTCAAAGTGCATTGTTATCAATATCATCTCATAGTGATAATTTAAAATTTGAAGTATATTGGTGTTGCTCACCAAGCATAAACAGTGATGAACCATGCTCTGCCCAATGCTCATTGTCGCATACCAAATTGAACTGAAAAAATTTGCCACGCCCATTATATTATCATTATATTATCAATATCAGTAATAATCATTTAATCACTATCATTTGGTTGTGCCTCTTAATGAAGACTTCAAGAAGATTAACGCATTTTGCAAAAGCTGTCAAAAAGTTCATGAATGCATTAATCTAAACATTTATGACTTATCGATTTACGATGTGCTGATGCATAATTTTTGAACGAATTCATTCTCAGCTTATCAAATTCAAAGGAATTATCTCTAGCTCAATTAACTCTTATAATATTTTAAAAATTAACCTCGGAATTTAGCGTAGAAAAGGGAACTTCCTCGTCAAATAGATATGTTGAATTAGGCACTGCTAAGCATTGCATTGTTTTATTGGTCTCTAATTCGAGCACACGGCAATTGTCAAGTATTTGATAAGTTTGTTGCTACAAAATACATTCTTGTCATTTAACAGTTGGAATTATTTCCGAGAATTATTTCTATCAAATAGTCGCTTTGAAGCGGACTTTAATATTTGCAGAAAGAAATTTAAAGATAAGTTGAAAACCATATATCATTTATTATGTCATTTAATTTCGATGTAAAATAAATGAAGATAATGCTAATATAGGACTTACAGAAATGGTAGAATTGGGTTGATTAATGATAATACTACATTCGAAAGATGGTGGTTGACCGATAAATCCCATAATAAACATTTGTGAGGAATAGAAAAATGCAGGTATCATTATTAGTAGACATGCACGCATCTTAATATCATAAATCAAAGAAAAGCGCAATCACATTAGTGGAATTGATTAATTATGAAAATTTTACTATCATTTAACATATTCATTAATATTTGTGTCATTACCTGATATTTGCCATATTTTCCAAATTCATGTAATAATTTTTCTGGATCAATTCGTGATTCCATTGTCATTTTATCAACTGCAAAAGAATCTTTTTCTTATAACCATGAATAAAATCATATGTTTTATTTTTCACCATATCAATTCATTTCACTTTAGCATGATAAATTTCACTTGAAAAAATCATTTCAAAGAAGAAATAAATCACATTGTTTTCGCTTTACAAAGATTGATGGAATTGTTTTGCTATCTGGTAAGCTTTCTCTGTTCCAATCAATAATTCCTGTCGTATTAGGAAAGCAATGTGATGTAAACATAAACTCCAAAATGCGCAAATAATGGGTGTATATTTATTTGCAAAAATTTTGATCGAAATTTCAAATTTAGACCAAAATGAAAATCGAATTTGTTATAATCCTTTACTGTTACTGTAGATAACTTTGAATTCAAATAAAATGGTCAAATGGAAAGAAAATCTATTGGATTATGAAATTACAATAGAATATTCTTATAGGACTTCCATCAAAGGGGATAATTTACATAATATTTTCAGTCAAAATCGAAATTAAAAAAAGTTATCAGGTTGAGCTTAGCGAAAACAATAAAGAAGTATTCAGCATATATTTTGATTTGATTATTATGCATAAGCCTTAGAATAACTATAATGAAACTTTCTCATGTTATCAAAATTCTTTAGCGAGCTATCGAAATGCTAATGAAGAAAATAGCTCAGCATAGAAACAGCAGCAGGTTACTTAAATTTAAATTAGCTGGGATATATCCGTTTTATGGAAAATATTTGAGTATTTACCAAATCGTTCTTGGAGATTCCAAAAAAAATAGCTGATATAATTAAAAGAGATACCGTACTACAAATGAGATGAGTGAACAGAAACCAAAAATTGTTATAAAAAATCTTTAGCTGTATATGAAGTTTTTTTGTGAGGAAAAAAGTAAAACGGTGGCAAAGATGTATTATAAGTTGGCATTGTTCTTAGATTCTGGAACAACTTCTGAAAATGGACACAAAAAAAGTTTGGCGAAAATTTGTCAAGCTATTCTTGGAGAGAACAGTAATGAGGTAGCAGATGTTTGGCATGCACTATTTCTTGGAATTTTATCAAAAAATCCTTATCTATCAAATTACTTTCTGATGAGAATGGCTGAGGTGTTTTATAAAGTGGCTGAGATATACGGAAGGAATGAAAATGTTCCAAACGAACCTGTAAATTTTATAAAAAATCTGCACCTATTTATAAAAAGACCTTGTGACACGGATGATAAAGAAGTGGTTAAATCTGGGTTGTGAAGTGCCTAATCAGTATCACAGTTTGGGCTATAGTTAGCAGTCCAACAGAGACTATGATAGAGCTCCTTATCACATTAGAAAATGATCCTCACAATCATCTATCAGGCTATTCACGAAGAGAATTGCAAGGAGACAGCAGATCACTATACAAACATGGCAACATTATGTTCATGAATGGAATGAAGCAAAAGATTGCTATTAAAATGAGCTATAAATTTACAACATGGAAAATGACTAAGAAATGCTGAATCAGTATTGAAGTATGCATATTTTCTGATAAGGGGAAGCTTATTATCAAAAGTAATAACGAACAGTATATGGTAAATAATATCTTCATACCGTAGCGAAAGGAGATAGCCAAAAAAATTTTCGAATGAAAGTGGTATGGTGCGACAAAAACAAAGTTTTTTGTTCAAAACTTCCAGAGTGAATAACCGGTTCCCGATGCCATAAAAAAATTTCTCTTCGCA